AAAGATTAGCTTGGCTCAGGTGCCCACCATTAGCTTAATTACCTGAAGCCTAGGTGAGGGTGGGAGGAGGGAAGAAGGAAAAGAGATTATGCAGTTTGAAATGCAGTTGCCTAGATACCAGGGGCTAAAGGCTGGGAAAGTTCCTTCAAAGATGGTGTGGGTGAGCAGACTCCAGCTGACAGCTCTAATTTGGGGAATGAGGTAAGCCCTTGAGTGGGGACTGAGAGTTAACTGGGGAGTTAAAATATCAGCCAACATGAAAACCAAGAGTCAAGGGTAGCTTGTGAGGGAAAAATTAAGCCAGTATCAGAAGCTCAGCAAAGACCAGCAAAGAGAAGGCAATGAACAAAAAAGGAAGGAGTCTAAGAACGTTTCTTTTTTTTCTCTTTCCACATTTTAATGGTGCATCATAGTTGTACCTAATGATGGGATTTGCTATTGCATATTCGTTCATGCACACAATATAACAATATAATTTGGCTCAGCATTTCCCCCCTCCCTCCTTGCCTCTCATCCCTTGGTCCCTTTTCTTTATTGATCTCCCTTTGATTTTCATGAGCTCTCTGCTCCACACACAGCCCCTTTTTCTTTTTCCTCTCTAACTTCCATATAAGAGAGAAAACATGACCCTCTCGACCTTCTGATTTTGGTAATATAGTAGTCTCTAGTTCCATCCATTTTCCTGCAAATGACATAATTTCATTTTTCTTTATGGCTGAATAAAACTCCATTATATATATATATATATATATATATATATATATATATATATATATATATATATATATATATATATTTCCTTTATTCATTTATCCATTGAGGGACACCTAGGCTGGTTCCATAGTTTGGCTATTGTGAATTGGGCTGCTGTAAACATGGGTATGCATGTATCACTATAGTATGATGACTTTAACTCTTTAGGATAAATACCAAGGAGTGAGAGAGATGGGTCATATGATAGTTCCATTCCTAGTCTTTTGAGGAACTTTCGTACTGATTTCCGCAATGGTTGTACCAATTCATAATCCCACCAACAGTGTAAAAGTGTTCCTTTTACTCCACATCCTCTCCAACATTTATTATTTTTATCCTGATGACTGCCATTCAAACAGGTATGAGATGAAATTTTATAGTTTTGATTTGCATTTCCCTAATTGCTAATGATGTTGAACATTTTTTCATATATTTACTGGCCATTCATATTTCTTCTTTTGTGAAGTGTCTGTATAATTCATTTGCCCATTTATTATTTGGGTTATTTCATGTTTTGTTTTTGTTTTTTGAGTTTATATATTCTAGATATTAATCCCCTGTCAGAAGAGTAGCTGTCAAAGATGTTCTCCCATTCTGTAGAGTCTCTCTTTACATTCCTAATTGTTTCCTTTGCTGTGTGCAAACTTTTTAATTTGATGTCATCCCATGTATTAACTCTTGGCATTATTTCCGGAGTTTTAGAGATCTTATTGAGAAAGTTGTTACCTGTGCCTTATGCTGTAGTATTGACCCCACATTTTTTTCTAGGAGTTGCATAGTTTCACAGTCTAACTTCTAGGGCATTGATCCATTTCAAGTTGATTTTTGTGCAAGGTGAGAGAGAGGGTCTAGTTTCACTCTTCTACGTATGAATAACCAGTTGTCTCAGCACCATTTGTTAAAAAGGTTGTCTTTTCTTAATGTACGATCTTGGCACCTTTGTCAAGGATCAGATGACTGTAGATGTGTGATGTTATGGTTTAGATTAGGTGTCTCACAAAAGCTTCTGTGTAAGACAACACAAGAAGGTTCAGAGGTAAAATGATTGGGTTATGAGAGCCTTAACTCAATCAGTGAATTAATCCCCTGATAGGGATTAGCTAAGTGGTAACTGAAGGTTTGTAGGGTATGACTTAAGGAGGTGGGTTGATGGGAGTGTGCCTTTGGGGTATATATTTTATCCCTGGCAAGTGGAGTGTTTCTCTTTCTCCTTCCTGGATTCCATGTTTCCAGATGCTTTCCTCTGCCACATACTTCTGCTGTGATATTCTGCCTCATCTCATGCCCAAAGGTATTGAGCCAGCTCTGAAACCATGAGCCCCCAAATAAACTTTTCCTCCTTAAAATTATCAGATCTTTTGGTCACAGCAGTGAAAAATCGGACTAAAACAGAAATTGGTATGGGAGTGGGGCCATTGCTGTGACTAACCTGACCATGTGGTTCAGAAGCTTTGGAGCTTTTTGGAATTTGTGGGAGGAATCTGGGAAAGTTTAGCAATGCAAGCTGGAAACGTTTTATATTGTTGTAAGCAGAACTTAATGGGAAATTCTGGTGGGTGCTCAGAAGATCAGAATGCCAATATGATGGTGGAGAGTAAAGAGTGGGTGCATGAAGTTTCAGAGGAGAAGAACTGTATAGGAAAGCGGACTAGAGGCCGTTCATGTTATGTGCTGGCCTAATTTATTCTAGCAGAATCCATCTCTCTGTTCAGAGATGTACACGAGGATCTGAACTCCAAGAATCCTTTAAGCAGGATAATCAAAGCCTCACTGTCTTCTTAAAACAATGGACTGTGACATTTTCTCTTAGTATGTGAAGGGATGTGAAGCTGATCCATTGTATCAGCTCAGTCACTGATTCCAATGCTCCATCAGAGCAGGAAGAGTGGTACATAGTATCAGCAGGCCCAGGTTTCATAAATTCACCCTGCTTCTCATGGAAAATGTTGACAGAAGCAATTGTATGAGCAGGTTGTACAAGGAAACAATTAGACATCTCCTAATTTCCTATTCCTCTCAAATTTTAAAAAAATGTGATTTCTAGATAGACTAGTTGATAAATTGGTTCATGCTAATGAAGGAATACTGAGCACCATAAAATAACATCATTTTTCATTATTGTTAATGGATGTTTATTTTTAAAAAAAATTTAGAAAGTACAAAATGCATACAGAATGCAACTCAGCAGCAAGGACCTCAAAATATATTCACTGTCACCTGTTTCTGCAATGCAGAATGATAAGAATGGTAGGTGCTAGAGATAAATGGTGAGTAAAATACACCCATAGAGTGCTACCCAGAGATAATCTGTGAAACATTTAAATGTTAAACTGAAATCCTTTTGGTCATTTTATTTGCGTACACACCCACAGCCACACCCACACATATTTAACTTTAGGAGACTGAAGCAGACAGGCACAGTCACAGCTTACAGCTGCTTTGGGTGTAACCTATTTGCAGATCAGAGTCATTCTCAGAGTCTATACCAGACTCTTTAAATCAAGACACGTGCATTGGACAAATATTTTAGATAGAGATAGATTTAAAAAAACAAGTAAACGTTGAAATCTGCAACATGATTTTCATTAACTCAACACAATTAATATATTTCAAGGGTATGGGCGCCACTTTTAGAAAGTAACCATCAATGTGAATCTTCTTAGTGTATTTCAAGACTTCATAATATACTGAACTCTTAGTTAATGGTAAGACTGCCATTAACTCCATTCTAAATTTCTGCCAAAATAGATTTCCTAGAGGCCAGAGTTCAAAGTCAACCAAAGAGCAGGGGAGACTCCTGGATAAAGCTGGTAAAACAACTCTTCCTCCCTCTATGAATTCTATTGCAGACATTCTGTTACACACTCTTTTATTTGGTGGTTGGCACTAGAAATTATTAATTCTAATCACGCCAGGTCAAGTAGAGTCCAGTAGAGTCAAGATGCAATGATAAATTGAGGTGGGTCAACTTTTGTCTATTACTTCATGCCACAGTAATATTGAAGGATATGTCATAAAGTTAAAAGAAAAAACTAAGGGAAGTGTTAGCAGCTAAGGGAAATGTTAATGGTGCCATGTTTTATTTGTGTTTTTAACTTTCTCTAAGCATTTAAATCAAGAAAATTCATTGAAGTCATACACTGGAGAATAAGGAATTAGATAGACAGTGACTCAGAGGAACTAGATGCCAGGTTGAAGACACCCATGGAGGGCAAAGTCACCTAACTACCAACCTCCAAATCAGCAGTGGTGGCTCATCCTCTGAGTTTCATAGTGGGATTTTTAAAACATTTCAGACTCTAAATTAATTGTTCTCCATCAAATGCTTAGTCTGCTTCAGTTATTTCTTTACTGAAGGACATTTTCATGTTTCAGAAGTCATCTTTTTTACAATTATAATGAAATCCTGAGACACTGAAAAATAATTAACTGCCCATTCAGATATGGAAGATTGGAGTGTTCCTTGAACACCATCATGAGGTGTGCACATTCTTGGTGTTGCACGAGTGGGCTGTGCACCTGCTGAGTGTCTGCCCTTCTCCAGAACAGCATGCCTTTCTCCAACAATGCTTGGGAAGGTTCTTCCCTGTCTGTGACTGTGACTGAAGGTGAAGCACATTAAGGTGCTCAACTCACCTGTGTAATTTGTCCAGGACTCAGCTGCCCACATACTGAGGGCTGAAGTGGCTCCTTTGGGAGCAGTAACTGGGATGCATGTGGCTGCTAAATAGAAAGTATCAAGTTGCAAAAATAGTACCAACACATATCATTAGTTTTGATTTTAAAGGGAGGGCGAAGTTATCACTTTACTTCCAAGCTGATTAATTATACAACTTGCATCTGGCAATCACTTGTAAATCCTAAGCAGCAGGCAGCAAATGATGCTGTAACTTGTCTGCTCAATAGTAATTTTTAGAAAGGGGTGTTCAAAATAGAATTGGTTTATGAAACAATGTAATTAAATAAGCTGCTGCAAGAAAATACTTCAGCTCTTCTTACTGCTCTATTTTACTCTTCTCTATTTAACTAAAAGATGTTCTTTCTAAAGGGTTGACTGTTAACTACAGATTTCTAAGCCAGACTCCCATGTTGCCTTTTGGTGTAACATGACACCATAGGCACAGCTATATGATATGCAGAAATGGCCTTTGCATATGCCAAGTCAAGTTAGCTTTTAAATGTTTCTTTTTATGTTACCTATGTTTTAGAATAATAGAAACTTAAAAAGAGAATCAAGGGAAATGTCATCCAAGCAAGGAATTCTCTTTATTTCAAGAAAGCATCCCTGAACCATTTATCAGGGGGCCTGGACCAGTAACACTTTATGCCAATCAAATATTGAAAAACAACCATCAACATAACATCAGCCACAAGGTCAAATACCTTTCCACACTAGCCAACCAATCAAAACACATCAGCCTTAAAGTGTAAGAAGAGTCTTACAGGCTAAATCAGGATAGAATTTTGATATGCTGATTAAAATTTAGCATTTATCTTTAAGAATGAAATAAAACAAATTACAAGCACGAAGAAAATTTATATTCCCTTTCTACACACCCTCTGAAAAAGTGGCATCTTTCAAGGAGAAGGAGGAAGAAGGAGAAAAAGAACAGGAGGAGAAGGAGGAGGAGGGGAAGGAGGAGGAGGAGGAGGAGGCAAAGGAGGAGGAGGCGAAGGAGGAGGAGAGGAAGGTGACACTATTATGAAGAAACACATGCTCTTTATGACCTAGCAGCATTCTGACCTGTAATGATTTAGTGATGTAAAGTATTTTATGAATATGAGTTGCCATCATTACCTAAGACTGTTTTTAGCTCCATTGGAATGCAACTTCAGTAGCTACCAGTAAATGAAGAGTATTCACAAACAATTTGTCATGTACTCCACTCCCTGGAATGTTCCCTCTTTTTAATGACACATCAACCATCCTGCCTAGGATGTTCTACACAGATATTGGAAAAATGAAAGAACTCTGGAACATGTTTACTTCTGCTTAATATCATCTAGGAGTTAATAAAATCTGTTTCAAATACCATTTGTGAATTCATCAACTCCTCCCTTGACTTTAAAAACAGTCAATATTGATGTGGCATATTGATGAACAGCACAGTCTTTGGAGCCAGATAATCTTGGGTTCAGTGTCTACTTTGCTATTAATTATCGTCAGTCCCATTAAATGTAAGTTTCTTAATCTAAATAAATTTGAATCATATCTACTTTATAGGGGTTTTGCCTAATATAGTACCTGGCATCAAATTGGCAAGGAAAAATATTTAACTAATATTATTTCTGGCTATTGATCTGTCTAGATGTGTATGTGTATATGTAAACACAAACTCAATACCAGCTTAGTAAATAGTCAATGCAAGGCATTCATATAATGCCTCGGGCCTTTCTCTTTGCTGTTTCAACCTGGAACATTCCTCCCCAGGTTTTGCATGTTTTGTGAAGTTCTTATGTGCAACTCTAGCTAATAAAAGCAGTATAAGAAATGTATAAAAGACATTGCCAGAGGAAATATAAATTTGGTGAAGCACATGTTAGTACTTTCTATTTGGAAAATATTGGCATTGTCTTCTAAAATTGAGTATCAGCAGGGATTCTGATACAGCAGTTCTTTCCCCAGTTGTATATTCCAAGGAAAAATGGACATATGTGTACCTAAAGGCATAGTTAAAAATGTTCATGACAGCATTATTTGTGATAGTGCCAACTTAAAACAATACAAATGTCCTTAAGCAGGGAAATGAATAAACTGTGATAGATTCACAGCATGGAATAGTACACATCAATGAAAGACATTTCTAGAAAGATCAGTGAAGGACTATATTGTACACTACACTGTCTTGTTCATAAGTTACACTCATATCTTCATCTCATGGAGTATTATTTTGAGAATGAAAGATAATGTCAAAAATGCATCTATCACTGTGTCCTATGAGATGACCATTCAGAAAAAACTATGAGGTGAGTGGCTGCCAAGTAAAAGAAATGGTTAGCAGTGCCTTTCCTTCCTTTGTGAGGAATCACAAAGAAAAAAGTCCCAAACCCAGATATTTTTGATGCTCAATTCTGTGCTGTTCAATCTGAATATAGTTTGGATAATGGGTCACATTTTCTAAGAAAGAAAATGAAACAACTGGTTTAACAATTGAATAGAAAATGAGCACACAATGCAGGGACCTGACCCCTCTGGCAGATGCTTCCCTGGTCACTGTCACACAGAAGTCACCTCGGCTTGCTCTGATGTTCCGTCTGGGGCTGTCAGGGGAGCTCATCTGATCTGGAGTTGGTTGCCACTTTCACAGAACACAACTCCTGTTCCTGACCATTGCAAACAGATCACAATTAGATACCTACAACTGTGTATATTAGCTGGGGTGGAGTCTGCAACATAGATTATATTTTGGGGAACTGTTTTTTTTTTCTCTCATTAAACTCATGATTAAAGTGAGGAGGACTGCGTTGCCTCAAATCACTGTGGTGTAGAACATGTAATCAGGGAAGGCAAAGACCCAGTGATGGACAAGATGCAAAATGGGAAACACCAGTGTATCCACTTTCATATGCAGTTATTGGTTGTCCCTCTCTGTTGTATTTCCTACCACAAAACCCAATTTTAAGAGATTTTCCCCCTTATTGTGAATTAGAAGCAATGGGCCATCTCTCCTTTGGTAATTTATATATCAAGCCTTATGGTAATTATTAGTCACAGAATGAATATCTTTCCCTGGAAAAGAAGGTACAGGTACAGACAATCAATGGCTGGGGCATTTTCCTTAAAATTACACGCCCCCCCCCACTGCCCTGTGGGAGAATTATGCCTAAGTGTTATGGCACCAACTGGGCCCACTTAATTTCTAGTAACACAAGACATTTCTAGAAAGAGCAGTGAAGGACTATATTGTTTGGTATTAATACTATCTATACTTCTTAGACATCATTATTCAAAGTACATGTATGAAGCCTCGAATTGGTATGAACATACTTTATATTACAACCAGAGATATGAAATATTGTGCTGTATATGTGTAATAGGAATTGTATTGTATTCTGCTATCATTTATTTTTTAAAAAATCAATTAAAATTTTTTTTAAAAAGAAATATTAGAGTAACTCTGAACAATCTTTTAGCTTCAAGGCAAGGAGATGGCTTAAGGTATCTACCACATTACTATATTCAGAGTCTTATAGGAATTAGTAAAAAATGAATCCAAGAGACAACATAAGGATATAAGAGTAGCAGCCCAAACACATTTGCTTGGGAAACACAGAAAGCTCTCAAAGTTTCAGAACTATTAGATTTATTTCCTTTTCTATAAAAGTTGTATTGAGAATAAAGGATGTATGGGTGTTTTAATTTTTTCTTATTTTAGAATTGCATAAAATTCATACTAATATTAATTTGTTTAATCTTTTTGAACAGAAATTCTATTGACCTAGAAATCCAAAGCTCAGTTGGAGCCTATAATTGAAGTGTTTTCAGGTGCTTGGACCAGATGAAGTTCAAAAGTTTTCAGATAGCTTGATGTTTGTGGTTTGAAGATCCAGTTTGACTATTTCTGTCACTTGTATTATACCTGAGCATCTGATTTGGGAAAAGTGCTGCAATGTATAAATAGAGAACATTTTATTAGAATCCTCTTACATTATAATCAAGATAAATTTACAGAAGAGTATAAATCCAGGAGCAAACATCACGATAGTTTATATAGACAAACCAGTCTTTAAAAAATAGTAGAATTTGCTCAGTTGTTTTGTAACTGCTTACCAACAGGATTGGTGATAGTGTTGCCTGTGCTTTGGTATCTGGTAATGATTCCCTTTCAATAGGGCTGGCTTCATTAATTGGCAGATTTCTTGCACAATGTGAATACAGGACCCTCTGTTCAAAAAGCAGGGTTAAAAAAAAAGGCAGGGTAAAATAAATAATAAATAAATAGCTTTCCTTTCTTCTTTAGTCTTTATCTCAAGTCATGGTATTTTTTAAATTTGTTATTTGTTGTCATTTAAAGGGAAGAAAAATTAAATTTTAAATATTAACATATATTTTATCATTTGTCTTTATATTGCACAATGTCATATTTAGACATGAATATAAGAGTATTTAATGCATATGTAGAACCACTGAAATCATACAATTTGTATTTAGTAGTTGCACCTGAATGTTTATTCCTTTCCTACCAGAAGGACACGCTGTACAACTAACTCACCTGTTTTTATTCCACTTCTAGATATACATACACATTCCACAGGGGTTTTCTACTGTCACCTTATCGATAAATAAGGAAGGGCTAAAAGGAAGGAACCGTGGACTGTCCTATCTTTTCCTTGCCTTCTAGGTCATTGTTTTCAGCATGAGTGTTTGGTTAATCCAGGAAAGGAACATGAATAGAAACTGATATGCTCAGGTTCTTTGGTTGATTGTGTTTCTTACACCGTTGCCTTCATGTTGCATTGGAAGCAAGTTCTGGTTCAAATGGAAAGCATGGTCTCTCAGGACTGTCAGTGTCTGTTTAGTCAGGTGTAGCCATAACATTCTCACCTGTACTTGCTTTCAGTCTCTCTGAGCTCCTGTGCATCCTGGTTCCCCTGGAATTCTGTGCTCATGGAACATGGCAAACATGAGTTGCAAATGATATGGAGAGAGGGCAATAGTCACATGTATCAGGCTCACCTCCTCTATTCTATGCATCTTCCCTTGTCCCATAGGGCTTCCATCTGTAAAACAGAGTTTAAAGATTAAATTATTTAGAATTTAAAAATGGCAACAAGGCAGGAGCATGCCAAACCTGGGGCCCTTCTGAGTGCCTAGTCCTGTGCGACTGCACAGGTCATGCACCCAGACAGCTGGCCCTGAAAGAGCTAACAGTGAAGGTAAATTGTTGCCAAAATGTCATCCAGAAGCGTGCTACTATAATTTATTTATACATCGATTATTCATTCATACCACCTGTTCACATGTTGTTAATTTGTCATGGAACAAAAGTAGCACACCTTATTCTAAAAGATAAGATGAAGCTCAGCTTTCCCAATGAATATGCAGCTTTTTATGTCATTGAATGACAACTTTCCCATCTTCCACCATATTCTAGAGGCACTTCCATTCCATTTTTTCTTTTATTTGGGACCATAGAGACACAATACTAACAACCTGGACCTGGATACATGTAGGAGATAGGGCATTTGTGAAGTACAAGCCCAGAACCATGTCCTGTGAAAGAACATTTTATTTCAATATGAGCTGTGATGAGGGCAAAAGATTAATTCTCCTGACTCTGACCTCTTTTGTCCAACCCCAAATGCTACCACCTTGTTATACCTCCCAAGACCCTGCCTGATCTCCTGGTCTCCCGCTTCACATTCTTCTCCATCATGATCCCAAAGTGATTCTTGTAGAACACATAACCAATCCAGATGATCCTTTCTTGCTCTTCACATCTTCATGATTCTCAAGGTCCTCCATGGTTTGGCCCTGCCCACATTACCAGTCTCCTGTGCACAGTATGACCTTTCAGACAATTTGCATTTACTCAAATAAGTTTACATCCCTCTGTATGTGCATATTTACCCACTGCCTGGAAAACTCTGTCCTATTTCCTTTGCCTGCCCCTCTCTTACTTGTCTTTTAAGAATTATCACAGGAATTCATCCCTTTGTTTATTTAACTATTCATTTATTTACTCAAGAAATATTTGCTGAATGCCTGTGCTATGTCATGTGCATATCAGATGTATGGGGAATGAAGACAATATGTGCTGTCTGAGTAAAAGTCACACAAACACATGCAAAAAGGTGCACAGATCAACTGCAACTCTAACAGAGGTTCCAGAAGAGAAATACTTTGTGGAATGGGGATGAAGAAGGAGGTGAATAGAACCCAATAGAAATGACAGTTGAGCCACACATAGAAGGGAAAATCAGATCCACTTAGAGAGGGAAGTGAGGAGTAGGTGCCCAGAGGTGGCTGAGCTTTTTCTGGGAGAGAGAACTGTTCTTTTCAAAAGTTCTGTAGCAGGAGAGAATCTTGACTTTTCAGATACTGAAAGGAAAGAAAAATGGTGCCATATTGGTCAAGAGGGGGCATCTAAGAGCAGTGTGAACCTCTGAAGTGTTTTGTTTTATTTTGTTTTGTTTCATTTGGTTTGATACCAGGGATTGAACCCAGGGGCGCTTAGCCACTGAGCCACATCCTCAGCCCTTTTTAATATTATATTTAGAGACCCCGTCTCTAAATATAATATTAAAAAGGCCCTTCTAGCTCGGGCCTTTTCCTACCCCTCCTGACCAATATGGCAATGAGTGGCTTAGGGCCTTGCTAAATTGCTGAGGCTGGCTTTGAACTCACTATCATCCTGCCTCTGCCTCCTTAACCCCTACACCCGGTGAAGTGTTTGTTTTAAGAGGGAAGAAAATAGAGTTGGAGCATCACAGGTGTGGAATGGCGAAGAGATCTGTGGGAGCAAGAGTGAAGAAGCTTCCCAACGTCCAAAGAAGAGATATGTCTGAGTGAGTGTAGACAGAAGTGGGGGCTGCCACTTGTGTGAAGATGTCTCCATTCCCCTCACCCTCACTCCTCTCTACAAGTCTGGGTGAGAGCTTCTTTCCAATGTTCCTGTGGTCTCCTGTGCTTATTTCATTTAATCTACCCAATGACCTAGTTCCATGGGTATTATCATCCCCACTTTGTACACAAGGAAGTTTAAGGTTTGGAAAAATATCACAGCTTTCTGAAGGTCCTGCACATAGTAGATGGTAGAACCAGGGTGGATGAAGAAGGGCTAAAAAGGTACCAGGAAGAAGTGAGTTGCAAATAAGCATAATGTATACATAGGAGACTAGGAGACGATAGAAAATCTTGGATGTAGCAAAAAGATCCAGTACAGATAGGAAGGCAGGTTAAGGCTAAATGTAGTTCAGCATTTACATTAAAGTGATATATTTAAACTAAAAGATCTAAAGTGATGAGTATTCTTTGTGCCTTTTGTCACTAAGGCATACCTTACTCCAAGCAATTTATCCTTTTTGAACCTCATTGGATCCCTCCCATGTCTTCCCCTTCTTGGTCTGTGGTCCTTGTCTCCACTCCCTGGCCTCCTAGAAACTTGTCAGCAATAATTCTTACACCTTCCTCCTTTAAACTCTTGTATACATTCTGATAATTTTAACTCCATATTATTTCTTAAGTCTGTGGCCCCTTCTGTAGCCTTTCTGCTACTTCACTAATTTAGGTATTCAAGCATTTCTTGTCTTCCCTGCTTTGTGGCAACTGCAGCCTAAACAGTTACTCAGTTTACACTCTTCTGTCTCTTGCATCCCTCTGTCTGTTCATCAAATGATCCATTCAAACCTTGTTCTAAAAGAAAGGCGCCTTTCCTGCCTGTCTCTGCTGTTCCACTTACCACCATCCAGTCTCATTCTGCAAGATCTAAAGATACTTTGTGTACAACCAGAGATATGAAAAATTTGTGCTCTATATGCATAATATGAATTGTAATGCATTTTGCTGTCATAAATAAATAAATAAATAAATAAATAAATAAAACCAAACTATTTGTGGTGTGCACAAAAACTAAATTTTTTTTAAATTCCATGCTTATTTTTGTGCCCATGATAGTTCCTCTTTTTTGAGCACCATAAATCTCTTTGCATATCCCTGACCTTCCCTCCCCATTCCACCCATCTTTGTCCGCCTGGCTTTGATGCTGTTCCCTTAAATTCAGCATGCACAACACCTCCTGCTGGAAGTCTCCCAGTGACAGATGATTCTTCCTCAGGGGTTGGAGGATGAATGCACCTCCTTTCCTTCCACTGCACGCTTTAATCCTTAATCTTTTTTAATTTTTAATTTTTGTACTCGTTTTAATTAGTTATACATGACAGTAGAACACATTTATGTACTTTGACATATCATACATAGATGGGATATAATTTCTCATTTTTCTGAGTGTACATGTTGTAGAATCATTTTGATCATGTAGTCACATATATACATTCAGTAATAATGTCTGATTTGTTTTACTATCCTTCCTACCCACACATCCCCTCTCCTCCCTTCACTTCCCTCTACCTAATCTAAGGTAACTCTATTCTTTTCTAGTGCCCCTTCCCTTATTGTGAATTAACATCCACATTTTAGAGAAAACATTTGGCCTTTAATTTTGGGGGGATTGCCTTATTTCGCTTAGCATGATATACTCCAACTCCATCCATTTACTGGCAAATGCCGTGATTTCATTCTTCTTTAAAGCTGAGTAATATTCCATTGAATATTTATATATATATAATCACATTTTCTTTATCTATTCATCTATTGAATGACACCTAGGTTGGTTCCATAGCTTAACTATTGTGAATTGAATTGTGATAAACAGTGACATGGCTGTATCACTGTAGTAGGTTGCTTTTAAGTCCTTTGGGTATAAACTGAGGAGTGGAATAACTGGGTTGATGGTGGTTCTTTTCTGAGTTTTCTGAGGAATATTCAAATTGCTTTTCATAGTGGTTACACCAATTTGAGTCCCACCAGCAATGTATGAGTGTACCTTTGCCCCTACATCCTAACATTTATTGTTGCCTGTATTCTTGATGATTGCCATTATGATTGGAGTGAGAGGAAATCTTGGTGTAGTTTTGATTTGCATTTCTCTAATTGCTAGAAATATTGAACACTTTTTTATATATTTGTTGATTGATTGTATTACTTCTTCTGTGAAGTGTCTGTTCAGTTTCTTAGCTCATTTGGGTTATTAGGGTTTTTTTTTGTTTTTGAGTTCTTTATATATCCTACAGATTAATGCTTTATCAGGGGTACATGTGGCAAAGATTTTCTCCCAATCTGTAGGCCCTCTCCTCACATTATTGATTGTTTCTTTTGATGAGAAGAAGCTTTTTAATTTGAATCCATTCAGTTTATTTATTCTGATTTTACTTCTTGCACTTTAGCGATCTTGTTAAGAAAGTCAGATCCTAGGCTGACATGGTGAGAATTTGGGCCTACTTTTTCTTCTATTAGGCATGGGTCTCTGTTCTAGTGCCTAAGTCTTTGATCCACTTTGAGTAAATTTTTGTGCAGGGTGAGACATAGAAGTTTAATTTCATTTTGCTACATATGGATTTTCAGTTTTCCCAGCACCATTTGTTGAATAGGCTATCTTTTCTCCAGTGAATGTTTTGGCACCTTTGTCTAGTATGAGATAATTGTATTTGTATTTTTCTCTGTGTCCTCTATTCTGTGTCATTGATATACATGTCTATTTTGGTGCCAATACCATGCCATTTCCACACTAAAGGAATATTCAACTAAAGGAGAAACTGTGTCAAATTAAAAACCAGAGATAAGTCAAAATGACAGGGAATACAAATCGTATCTCAATAACAACCTTGAATGTTAATAGCCTAAACTCATCAATCAAAAGACACAGACTGGCAGATTGGATTAAAAAGCAAGACCCAACAATATACTGTCTTCAAGAGACTTAACTCATGGACAAAGACATCCACAGGCTGAAGGTGAAAGGATGGGAAAAAACATATCATTCATATGAATTGCATAAACAAGCAGGTAGTCCCATCCTCATTTCAGATAAAGTAGACTTCAAGCCAAAGTTATCAGAAGAGAGAAAGAAGGACATTTCATACTTCTTAAGGTAAATATATATTAGCAAGACATAAAAATTGTAAATACTTATGCCCCAAACAATGGAGCATTTATGTACATC